TCTCCAATAATTGTGATAATCATGTGATGGAAGTTCAACACAACTGAACAAACTCCATCGTTGATAAGGACAGTGTTGATGTGGTTGGAAGATTTGAAAAAAGCTAGTAGGTGGAAGTTATAATTTTGTCAAAAATAATAACACTAATACTGTATCAGTTCAGTCTCCACTGTAGATTATCTTTATAGTCGCCACATCTTGCTCCTCTGCAGGTATTGATCTTTTCTTGTCATTTCCTGTTGAGAAAAGGCTGGAGTTGACTTTAAGGACCCATTCTGCGATCCTCTGGTCGGTGTAGTACCCATGATCACTGTCCTCCTTCAGCCTCTCCGGACAACCTTTGTCTTCAGAGTCCTCAGATTCTGTTTCAATAGCTGAGTCATCGGAGCAGAAATCTTTTTGTTGCCTAGCCTCGCAGAGACTGGCATCATGTTTAGCCCTGACTGGCATCATCATACTGCAGTCATTGGCACCGGGACGACTAGCGTCATTCTTTTGTCGTATTGGTGAAGTCGATGTTGCAGCTGGTTGACCATCAAAGGTCCGTTTAATCAGTCTGCTGTGAGTCTCTGAACCCTGGATGGCTGCTTTGTTTCCTGCTGCACGAGCAACACTGATTTTATTATGTTTGTAAGACTCCTGATTTACTTTCCCACACTGTGCAACCAACACATGAAACATTGTATTTTCTGTCATCATGTTACCAGTTGGGAAATGGTTTCTATGTCCTTTTGGTTTGGCTGACTCCTTTCTGTCTGCTGGTAGAGCACCAGCGTATTCCACTTTGCCAGAGATGTTTCTTGATCCGCTGATAGGTGGTAGAGGGATTCCTGGCCTTTGTCTTGGTTTAGACAAACCAGTGAGACATTTTGTCCTTGTCAGGATATGCGCAGTGTTGGCTAATTTTGCAGCTTCTTGGAGATAAATGGATGATTGCGTTTTGAAGTCTGCAACAATTTGCCTGTCAATCCGTTGGACGCTGATCTCCAAAGCTTGACTTTTCCTTTCAGTAACATTCAGTCCCCTTCGTCCAGACCTCCTGCTCCTGTTTAGGTCGAACCCATCCTGCTTGTTGTGAACGCCTGTGTGTGAACTTTTCATAGCTTCTGCAGCTTGTTGCATCCTCTGTCAACGGATCCATCTTTGCATCCACTTGACTATCAATCTTCTTTTATACCGCCTGTCCCTTCAATACCACGCCCACACCACTCCACACACACACACAACCCTGTGCAGTTACTTGATCTGTAACATTACCCTACCTGTAACCTGTAAACAGTGGATGAAGAGTCATGCATCACCAACACACAACCACACAAAGGAGAGCCATCCCTTAGACTTTCATGCTGATGTTTGTGGACAGGCTGATCTTAGACGTTGACTTAAGTTCGCTGGAAGTATTGCTGCTAGCACAATGGACGGTCAGAGGGGGCTAACCCCTTACCTATCTGACTCCATCTCCTTCTGATGCTCCACTGTGACATCACATTAATTTACTCGGAGGCTGCAACGAGAAGGGGTAATCAAAAGAACCCAATTGAACGCCAAATGAATGAAAACTATTTGGAAAACATGATGGACATTACATGAACATTTATTTCATGTTTTAATCTGAGGAAGGCTACATACAAGGACCAAAACCTCATGAAACAGTTTCTTCCTGACTGCAGTTGGCCTCATCAACAAGGATACCCCCGATACCCCCATTGACGGGTGTACAAGCTAGCTGTTTCCCCCTGCTGCCAGTCTTTGTACTTAGCTAGGCTAACCATATCCTGACTCCAGCTCTGGACTTAAAACACAGACATGAGATTGATATTGATAGCCTCATCTCACTCTTGGAAATAAGGCCAATTGGTCTATTTTCAAACTGTTCCTTGAATGTCCTTCGTTGTCCCTGTTGTCCTTGGTGCATTCTGTTCAGCTGACTGGTAGTCTTCCAGATGAACCCTCCTGTAAAATATTCACCACTGAGGGTATCTGATCTCCCACTGTGAATATATAGGACGAGATCGTCAGAGCAGGAAATGACTGCTGTGTACTGCAAACCTAAACCTCAGGTTTCAGTTTCAAGTCACATTCTCTCTATCAAAATCCACTTCCTGGTCATTTAATTAAAGCTTGGTTCAAATGGGCAAAGGGAGAAGTGGATTATTTAGCAGCTGTCACAGACACTGTGCACTTATTCCAGCATACACTGATTGGAACGAATGAAAAAATAGGATCAAATATATAATTTTGACCCCAGAATATCTCCAATTTTGACAGACTCTACCAAATGTAGAAACATTTTGTGCATGTGTAATAAAGTTTTGCGCACACAGATATTACTTGCACAAGTTTATGTAGCTGTAGAAATATTTAGTGTATGTCTGATTAAAATTTCTGCAGGAATGGTTTAATAACGATTTCACAGTCTGAGAGACAGACAGACACATTTCCCATCTTAAGTTACAAGCTATAAGATATTAGATTTCAAGCACGAATGTTGACCCTGTTTTTACGCCTGAGCTAAATAGCCAATGTTGCATGTTGCCCACTTAACATCCAATCAGAGGAAATTAAATGGGTTAATTCTGCAGGACTATGAGTTAAAATATTGGGTGCAAAACTTTATTACACATTCACAAGTTGAATTTGTGAGATTTATTTATTTATTTTTATACAAATTCACACATTCAGATATGTGAATGCAATTTTTTTCTCATGCACACAGAAGGTAAAATATAACTGCAGGCTGTGACATTATTTATGCTCAGAATATTAATGACCCCTATTTGCTTCCATATCCAATTATGATAATTTTTCTCTCTTCAGTTTGTTTCGACACGTATGTCAGCAAACATGTTGACGCTGTTGGCTGCTATACACAACAATATGTCTGAGACAGACATCAGCTCTAGAGTTGCAGTGGATGTATTATGAGCTGTGTGTTTTGGCCCGTGACACTGTACACCACCTGCACATGCCGGCCAGTCTACTGGACAAGGTGAGCTCACTTCTTCCACTGACAGCCAGCGAGGTATATGTCTGTGTGACAAGAGGGGGGTTCAAAATTTTGATATTGGTTAAAATAATTTTCTGAGACAGCATTATGAGCATTTAGAGACACTGTCGTTATTGTGGAAGAAGATGACAAATTATGTATTTTGTTGTTTAGTTTAGAAGTCTTTTGTGTAATATGATGTATCTTTGTTCCAAATATATATGATTTCAAATCAAATAGATTAAAAATAGCCTACATAAGGCACTCTGGCTGAGCCTTGGGGCTTACAGTGCCACATTTGCGCACGCACACACACACACACACGTGTTTCTATCACTTCAGAGGACATTACATTCATTCTTGGAGACTTACCATAATCCTATGCCTTAAGTCAAGTCTTCACCCTAAAATTTAATGATTTACATTATGGAGAGTTACATTTTGTCCCCAAAAGGAAGGTGAGTCCTCACAATGTGACTGTGTAAACAGATTGTGTCCCCACAACATGAATTATACACGTTCACACAAACACACGCATACACACAAACACACCAAGATCATGATCATTATTAGTGAATGAACAATGACAGGACATACAATCAAGATGTTCTCTTTGTGGACACAATAACATGATTTATTATATTATATTATATATATATTATATTCTATGGTACATTATTATATTCTACTGTTGAATATATGTTATAGTAGTTTAAAAGGTCAGAGCTATTCTTAGGCTATCATCAGGATATAGTGTCTGTTTAGCATAGAATAACATTTTATCATGAAGGTAAGCTACCTTTGACACATATTGCTTTAATCATAGTGTGTGGCATTAGAGATATCAACAAAAAAGAATAAAATGTTTGCTGTTTTCATACCTTCTTTGGCTGTTTAAAGCCTCTAAGTGAGCAATAATTTATGTGATTATACCAACTTTAAAATTATTCAGCTGACATAGATACTCTGTATTTATTAACCCCTTAGAGGAGTCATGGAGGTGGAAGGTTTATCACCAGCCACATATCAGCTATCCCTCTTTGATGCAATAATGCTGGTGTCTGGACATATGTGCAGAAAATATTTTTTTTTCCCATGGACTGTTGGGTCCTTATGGTTCTTTGACAGAAGGAGAGATATGAATGAAAAACTGAGCCAAATGCAGAAGACAAGGTTGACAACAGTTTGTGTTATTTTTATTTCTATATCTGTAGCTATTCTGTACCAGTCTGTATAGTGAATATCTATAGTTTTGTATTGCATTACTGGAATTACTTTAGTTTAATTTTGGCATGTCAGCAAAAATAACTGTTGGAGCAGTTTTTAAAATGTATACTTAGTATAGAGAAATTTCTAGAAAACTGTAATAATAATAATAATATAATAACAATGAATGGACTCAGTATTTAGATCAAGTGTAAATGATTGCCATAATTATGTTCCCTGTATAGGCAGTTAATTACAGTATTTTTACATTCCTGTACGCCAAGAGTTAATTTGAGTAATCTTTCCTTTATCTTAATTACCTTTAACTTTGATGCAATGCTACAGTTCTATCACTGGAGGGCGGTATTGCAATGCCATATAAAGGGGTACCCACTGCAGTAAAGCACACATACCCCAAATTCCTGTCTCTGTGTGCACCAAAATCATTTCCCATTGTAAGGTTATAATTAATCTCCAGTTGGCAGGAACATAAAGTAAGGTCAGTATATGAAACCTTCGCTAACTAAATACCAATTCCTCATAATATCTGTATGTTTATTCGATTATATATCACATAGTCTTATAAGAAAAATTGATATTAGTAGCATGAGACTGTTACTGTTTGCATCTGAAGGGGCTTCAAATGGGACAATTGCATGCTTTAGTTTAGCTTCTCTGTGACATAAAATTGTAATAATGGGTGAAGAATCTTTCACAGCATATACAGACACTACTGTACAAAGTAGTAATATCATAAGTAGCCTAATGTCATCTTGTTCATCTGCGAATACGTTTTGTTTCCCAAACTTACACTGCGCATGCGCATGTCAAACCTGTCAGTGCCATAGCAACCGGAGTAGACATCAACTATCAACATGGTGAGTGTTTGTGTAGTCGGTTTATTTTCCATTGCTTTTGTGTGTGTGTTTTAAGCTAATTTATAGGGTCCGAACTGTAACCACCAATACGAACATGCAGTGAGTTCGCTACAGTTGACCTTACAGGTTACATCGTTGTCGCTGTAAGCTAACATGGGCTAACTTTAATTAGCTAGTTAGCTAACTTAACCCTAACTGTAAGCTAGCGGTAAATGTCTGGCTAACGTCAGATAACGTTATATCCTGAACGCGTGTGGATGTCTGTGTGTAGTTTGTCGTTTTCCCTGCTGTTAATTGTTGCACTGGGAGGAAGACTTGTTCAAATGTCTGCCCACCCAGAATGAAGTGTCCAGCAGCCCAAACCCTACAATGAACGTTTTAGTAAACACAGTGTATATTCAGAGCCTATAGCTTAGTGAAAAGTGTGTGTTTAACGTTTACTATGTACTGTTGCTAAGCGTGTCTGCTAATTTGTCATTGCCAATATAACCCAGCCTCCTGCCAGTCTAAACTAACTGAATGTGATGTATTGTCTCCAGGCAAAAGCAACGACAGTGAAAGAGGCGCTGTCCAAATGGGTGAGTGGCATACAGACAGAACACACACAGTACACCATCAACACTGTACCACAGTTAGTTTTACTGCTGTTTGTCACCACTGTTGGCCTAGGCACTCACAAAATGTAATTTATTACTCATTACTCTTTTCACAAGTAATATTATTACTTTATTTATTACTCCCTGCCAACAGTAATTAGTTACACTACAAGCTATTACTATTACTTTTCTGCTACTCCCCACAAAGTTGGTAATTGTGCCCTTTCTCCCCAAAATTCAAATTTATGTGGATTAAAATCCTGTTTTGTTTATTGAAATCAAAGTAAGCCAGCTGCTGAATATGTTTCCATCTTCCACTCTAGCTTCCTCCACGATTACACAAATCAATCCATGAATGTGATTGGATTGTTGGATTTCTAATTAGAGGGCGGTGCCAATAAAAGATAAAAGTAATGTTTGGGGGGTAACTGTTATAGCATTACTGAACTGTATCAGTAATTAGTTACAGTAATTACAGTACAGTAGTTTCAAGTATTATTATTACTGTAATATTATTTCTAGTAATAAGTTACTGCCCAACACTGTTCTTGACCGCAAGTTCATTCATTTATTTGCATAGCTGTAATTTCATCTTTTGATGTGTGTGTGTGTGTGTGTGTGTGTGTGTACAGGAGGAGAAGTCAGGGGAGAAAGTGAGCGAGGCTCAAGCCATAAAACTGTATGGTCAGGTTCCTCCTATAGAGAAGATGGATGCTTCTCTCTCCACACTCACCAACTGCCAGTGAGTCCTCCAACAATTCAGTTTTCATTACAGCAAGTTGTTATACTAGCAAAGTAGCGTTATAATATCTGTTTTTACAATTCTACCTAGAGGGAGACCAACTCGTGGATGCCTTCTTTATGTTTCTGCATGCAGTGTGAAGGCGTGTTGACCATGAGATTAGCCTAGTTTAGCTCATTTATTGGGTGTCTTTGGGATCAGGTAACTACCCTGTTCAAAGGTACATGCTTGTTGACTAAAAAAACTTTTTTGGTAACAGACACAATGGTGTCTTGACCAGAACATACGCATACAATTTGATCTACTATAAAACTATGAAGTACTTTCTGGTAAAGTAAAAAAAAATGGACCAGTCAGTCTGAGCAAAATCTCCAGTAGGAATCCTCCAACATGCAGTCGCTATGGTTTTAGGCTAGCTGTGATAGATGACCATTTGGCACTGTATACCAAATATGTTTTTTGCTCATGTCTGTCAGCTTTCCTCCTGTGTATAATTTAGCACTACTTTTTGAAAAATCTGTGGAAATTCAGCTTTACACTTCTGCAAAAATGGATGGCTGGTATAAACTTTTTTGCATTTAGTAGCTTACATAAGTATAAGGCTAATAAGGTTAATGTCTCTATTAAAGAACATGTATAATATCCAGAGCTTCAGCTAATGGTTATTTACATTCCAAATCAGTGTGGCAATTATTTAGATTAAACAACTTTGATTAATTCACTTTGATTGGGTCCAAGTTTCTCTCTACAAGCACCACGACAGTGAAACCTTGGAGCAACATTTTGCCCTGAAAATGGCAGGCAAAGACTCCTGCCAGGCTGTGTACTGTCAGTTTGTGTAGAATTAAGTGTAGCCTTGGAGAAAAGGCTGTGTTTTCCTCTGAGAGGAGCTATTATTTGATCCCATAAATATCTAACAGTGGAGCTAAGGTAGGTAGATGTATGTAGGTAGGTAGGTAGGTCATTGTGTAGTTTGCCCTCAAACTGCACTTCTATGATGTTTTCTCGCTCTTAAAACTTTCAGAAATGACCTGGAAATTTAGAAACACAAATCCTAGACTGTATACACAAACACATGTACTTTATCTTTATTCACACAATCAGCAACAGCATAACTTAATGAGTGAAAGCAGGTCAACCAAAGTAACTTCATATAGATCAGATAACGGTGAAATCAAATGGTAAGTTAACGTTCATCGCTCTCTGACTTCTCAGGGCAAGTATAGAATTTTCTGTTGCAGATCATATAGTACAGTAATCTGTCTAACCCCCAATGTTTTTAACTCGACTAGTATATCACCCTTTAAATACCCGATATGTTACAGGAGGCTGTCTCTGTCCACAAACTGCATTGAGAAAATAACCAATCTCAATGGCCTGAGTGAGTAATGACTGCATAAACACATACAGCCACACACAAGCACACTCTGTTCACGGATGGGATGCAGTGTTGTAATGTGATGTCTTGTTGTTGTATTGTGTGCTTCCAGAGAACTTGAGGATATTGTCATTAGGAAGAAATAATATAAAGGCCCTCACTGGGCTGGTAAGTTACACATTTATTTTATTATTTCTCTCTTTTCCTTCTTTCTTCATTTCTGTCTTTTTTCTTTCTTTCTCTACACAGTTTGTATAGCTTTTTAAAGTGGGTACACATGCTGAATACATACTTTGTATTTACATTATTTAACATCAGTTGTGTGTGTGTGTGTGTGTGTGTGTGCAGGAAGCAGTAGGGGACACATTAGAAGAGTTGTGGATCTCCTATAACTTGATAGAGAGACTGAAGGGAATCCAGTGCATGAAGAACCTCAAAGTCCTCTACATATCCAACAACCTGGTTAAAGAATGGGGTATGCTACATAACACAATATTAATTGCCATGTGTTTATTCATGGATTCATGGAACATTTTTGAGTGACCTGTTTTGAAAATGAAAGCTCCTCCTCTTGCCTAACATTGTTTTTGGCAGTTATTGCTTTAGTTTAGGGTTATTATTCTCATTTTTAAAATATGCTGATGGTTTGCTGATGCTGAAATCCTCAGTGTGGCGGTCTTTAATTTTGGTATGTGATGTTTTTCCTGTGTTCTGTGTAGGAGAGTTTGTCAGGCTAGCTGACCTGCCATGCCTCGCAGACCTGGTGTTTGTTGGAAATCCTCTGGAGGAGAAGCATTCAGCAGAGGGAAACTGGATGGATGAAGCCTCTAAAAGACTGCCTAGTCTGAAGAAACTAGATGGTAAGAGTGAAGCAGTGTTGAAAGACACTGCTAAATAACTAACTAACAAATAACTCAACCATTAACTAACTAACTATTCCCATGTGATGCAGCGTATGTTGGAAAAAAATTGTGGTAACACTTTACTGGTCCTTAATTTCTGAATAATTTCTAATTAATTCATTTAAATTAATTGCCAGCATAACCTGGAGCAGGGATCTCAAACTCAAACTGTCTTGGGGGCACTGCTGGTATTGTCGTCTTATAGGAGGCCACTTCAACTTTCAAATACTACAACAGAGTCCTATATTCTGAAAATATTTCTATCATACTTCACAAAAAAAGCAAACAGCACTTTTTCATATAATCTCTGTTGTTTGCAGCCAAAAAACAAATGAAGGCCCAAAACCTGCTCTCTTCCTATCAACCCTTTTTTGCAGGCATCTTTGACCATCTTTGATTTTGTGCCAAACAAAACATCTAAAATAGAATTGGGTTTTTATTTTAATTGAATATGAAAGGATAGTTTGCAAAGATATTAAATAACTACAATAGTAAAAAACTAATAATATACTGGGCCGGTTTATATTATGTTTTTGACATCATGTCACAGACCGGAGGGAGGGGGTTGGAGGGCTGGAAATGGCCCCCAGACCGGCAGTTTGAGATTTAAAGAGTACAGTAAGTCAGCTGAGGTCAGCTGAACATGAAAGAATGTAAAATCTGTCTACAGGCAAACATGCAGTTCACCATATATGTATGAAAAGTTTACAAAAAGTAACTACTAACTATGAATAGTATAGAACAAATAATGAATTCAGATTTACTTGGATTTATTTCTTAAAGGAAATTCACATTTTCCTCATTATTAGTACCATATTATACATTTCCTACCAGAAAACTTCCTGGAAAATTATTTGGAAATGACATTCTGAAAAAAACAAAGAAACTGCCAGCCGGGGAGTTTGTGGCTGGAGCAGGGCCTTTCTGTGTAGAGTTTGCATGTTCTCTGTGTGTCTGTGTGGGTTTCATCTTGGTGCCCACAGTCCAAAGACACGCAGGTTAATTGGTGACTCTAAATCACCATGATCTACCTCGTCTCTTCCTCATTGCCGTCTGGGATTGATTCAAGCCCCCCTGTGTCCCTGCAGAGGATAAGCGCAAAGAGATAATGGATGAATGGAACAACTTTTACATTGCCACTAAGTAAAAAGTTGTTTCTTTGAAGATACAAATTGTGATTTCTTGTTGTTTCCAGGAACCCCAGTCATCAAACAGGAAGAGGATGAAGGAGACGGAGAGAGCTGAAAAGCATGACTATCTGCAAAAATTACAACCCCCTTCCCTAAGAGTCTTCCCTTTTTTAAGTTTTGTATGGTTTGTTATGGTGCTTTTCTTTCTATAAAATGATTTTAAACCCGCATAGGCTTTCTCGTAGATTAACAAGCACAAAATAACCAATAGACAGAATGTGTGTGTTTTAGATATGAAAAAAGTCTGTAAATACTTCAGGCCTTGTGGGTATGGGACCAGAGAGAGGTTTTGATGAGACCTTATAAGTGGAAATACATAATAAGCACATGTCCTAATGCTTTTTACAGCATTATAATTATTTTTTACTGTTAAGCTACTACTAACTGTTGTTGTTAACTAAGAAACGGACTGTGTAATTTGTGGTTCAGTCCCATTTGTGAGCTCTTTCATTTACAACCTGTTTTTTAGAGTGTCCTTGATTTATATGCCTCTTTATGTTCTTCTAGCAAGAACTAAAGCACAGTATAGCACACACACTAGTGAGCGGAGACATTTGTGTGGACCAGACGTTGATAAGGTAATACTATTAGCTCCACACTGCTGGACCTTCTCTAATAGGAATTGGCTGTAAATACCTACAGTAACACCGTCCTCCCTCCATAGCATCACCACGGAGAGATGGTCACATAAAGCCAAAGATTAGCTGAATTATACTACATTTCACATCACATTGGACTAAGCAGTGGAACAGTTGATGTTTTAAGAAAGTGACTCGAAATCCAGCAAATAGTTGCATCCTGCCGTGGTAGTTGGTATCAAAATTTAGGAATTAGCTGAAATCAGGGTCTGTTACCAACCACTGACTTCTCAGGTAGTAAGCAGCAGTAGCATTACAATATGGAGGTTCATGTAGTTAGACAGTATGTACTGTCCTCCTTATGGGACGTAAGGGACCATCTCCAGCTACGTTGCAGAAGCCTTTGCCTGAACTGGAGCCAATGCAATATCGAGAGTGAAACTTACATGACCAAAGTACATCCGCTGATCTGTTGGCTGCTGCATTGTCTGAGATCTTGCTGGCTAAATAACACTGAGGTCATGTGTCTTAACTTGGTCATATTCAGATTTAACATGATTATGCGGCTCTAATGTTTTTGAAGGGCAGAGGCTAGTCTACTGTATTTTACTCTCAGTTTTATGGTCATTTTGGATTTGTTGTTTCTTCATTCTTCCTGTTCTTTACGATGTGATACCTAGGTTAACGCATGTAGCATAATCCTCATTTATTACCTGTCTGTGTAAAATGATTTTCATGTTTTAAATTATTTTAGGCATGTTTGTACATACAATTGTAAGATGTTTATGATTTTTAAATGATTTTGATATTTGAAATAAAAACTATTGAAGAATACCAGTTGAACCTTGTCACTTGGAATATAACAGTATTCTTGGTAATATAGTAATCAAGTAATTGGACAAATAGATACTATTAGGAATTACTGTTTTTTGTTACTCAAACCAAAAGCCAGAGGTGGAATGTAACAAACTACATTTACTCAAGCAGAGTGAGTACTTTGAGTATATTTACCTAATGTTTGTATACTTTCCTTGATTACGGTTTTGCAGGACTTTTATTATTATCACAGTGAGTGTAGTATCGTTAGTTACTAACTAAAAGTTTAATAAACAATCTTTTCTTACAGAGTATATGAATAGATCCGTGTATATAAAAACAAGTCGGATAAATTGTTAACGCACCAATGAAAAATAAGCCCTGCCCACCGCTTTCCGAATCACCTTCATAATTGGCCAACATGGATATCAATCAAATGTCTTCCAGTTAGCTACTTGGCAACGACCTCGTACCCGGAAGTGTTAAAGTCGCCGCGAAATATCAACAACTCAACTTCAAAGCGGTAGAAATGTACAAAGTACAAAGTACAAAAGTGTCTCTGTCGGACCAAATGTGATAGCTGAGTGGGTAGAAAGTTCGGTCATTTGGGTGTAGTGCTGTGTGGCTGTAATGCAGCGGAGTAAAGCCGCCGTGAGTGTGGAGGTGAAGCAGGTGATAGGAGCTCTGTGCAGACTGCTGACGGCCACCGGCCTGCAAACTGTCCCCGCACCGGAAACCTTCAGGCGGGCTAAATTTGGTGGTGGACTCGAGGTGGTACGTTTATCCTTTTTCACTGTCGAGGGGGGTCGATTACTACGTTTGTTTTGAGGTACTTGTACTTTGATTTATACTAGCTATTTTCTACTCGACCAGTTACATTCTGATAAAATATTTACTAGCTACATTTATTTGACAGCTTTAGTTACTTGAATTTACATACAAAGCATATGATGGTTTCCTATTACATACCAGCCAAACAGCCTGGGATTGTATGGTATTCTGGTAAAATGAATGATGACACTTTAATAATTCCACTGATCTCAACTGGATCACTGCAGGAGCAGACAGTGGGATAACAAGTGGTCAGAATTTGGATAAAACAGCAACTATAAAATCTGTAATCTTAAAAAGTTTAACTTGGACAATTTTTTTATAAAGCTCTGTATGTTTCATTCTGACAGACATCTTTCTGCTCACTGTTGATTTCCAGGAGGATCAGTTTTGGCAGCTCCTCACCAACATCCTTCAGACAGCTGGCATTGTTTCCTGTGAAGCTGGTGCACAGCTAGGTGGAGGTCAGTCACATTGTCTGTTGCTATTTGATGCTATTTGTCCAGGATTTTACTGATTTCAAAAAAGATAATTTCCCATGATTTGAAAACATTTTTTGAGTTTTGTAAAAAGATACTCTCTTTTGTTTCCATCATTATGATGGAAGCTGGAAATTTTCTAGACTGTGCTATGAGCCGGCTCTTGCCTCTACACATTACAATAGTGTAAGTCAGAAAGTGGTCTATGGAAAAGCACGCAAAAGGTCACATTATCCACTATGCAAAATGACCTTTCTCAGATCAATTATATTATAATTAAATCATAGCCAGTTATGCATCATTTTATATGTACTTTATCTGTAATTCACGCATAAAGTCTCTTTGGCTTTCGCCATTCTTGTCCACACAACATGAGTTTGTAATGGCTTACCTTACCAAAGGTTCAGTATGCTCATAAATACATCTTTTCTGTTCAGCATTTAATCCACATTGTGACTTTTGAGCAAGTGCTGGGAAATGATTTCTTAAAAAGAGTGGGAACCCTGATATGCAGATTTAACTGGACCAACTAGACTGACATTTCTAGAAGGCCCGAAAACAGTTAAGTGGACTTGCTGAGTGACTGAATGTCTCTGTCTGTGTATAGCCCCAGAGCACTGGAAGCTGGTAGCTGCAGGCCTCTGGCAGACTGGATACCATGCTGACTGGATGTGTGGCAGGGAGGGAAGAGAGGGGGGCAAGGGACAGAGTTTCTCCAGCAGAGACCTCCTCCTGGCGCTGGCCTGGCTGCTCGCTACTGGAACACTGGAGAAACTGCTGACACAGCGAGTGCAGCGATTGGACAAAACATTACTCACACCTCCACCTGTAATGGTACGTGTCAACAGGGCCGTTTTTGGACTGCTTTCCAGCATTGGACACTTTTAGTTTTATTGACCAACAAAAGGCTACACCCTCCTTTATCCTTGCAAACACTTCCTGGTATACTACCAGTGCGTTATACTGGTAAACCTAATTCTGCATTTCTATTTTTACACTTCTATATCTCTACTCTCTCTCTCTCTCTTTGTTAGGTGAACCCTCAGCCGTCCGGTGAGCTCCAGTTAGACTCGGCATCTCTGAGGAAACTTCAGTGGCTCATTGGCTATCTGAGATACCAGTGGCGGACACTGCTGTCCATGCAAGAAGAGCGAACTCGTCTGCTCCACGCTGTGAGAAAATCCCCCCCTTTCCAACTTTTTCACAGGTTGTCATTGTGTGTTTGTCGGTTGCTGCAGTGGAAAACCCTTTTTAGCAAATTATAAGTGTTGGAGCATAAACATTGAAGCAACTGAGATATTTATTGGACTAAGGCTACGTTTACACTGCAAGCGTTGGTGCTCAGATCTGATTTGATTTGTTTTAATGTGGCCCATATCAGATTCTAGTGTGAATAGGTCATGATCACATGAATTCTGATATGACTGTTCACACTGAGGTTGTGCAGAAAACCAGACCTGTATCTGATTCAAGCCACACATGAAAGTGGTCCAAATCAGAGTTGAAAAGATCAGATCCCATGTGTTTTATGCTGTTCACACTGTCAAAAACAGATCTGAGTCACATATAAGCAAAATCATCAGATTTGAGTCGCTTGTGCCTGCAGTGTGAACATAGCAGAAGTTATACTCAAGTCTAACCAAGAAATCAATGTTTTTCTCAGGTCTCTATCGCCACCCTCCCCCCCCCTGCATCCTCTGATCAGAGCTCAGCAGTTCTAAGGGAGGTGAGTGTTTGCTGTTATTTAAAATGAATTACTACTAACAATATCCTCTGCCTATAGTTAGAGTTAGGCCTGGACAATAAAACAATAGCAATATGTATTGGGAATAAACAAATTGTTCAACAGAATATCGATAGTTTTCCTTAGATGCATTAAATGCCATGAAAGCACAGAATGAACACACCCTGGCTCATAAACAGCCCATCATATCCCTTGATAATGGAGCATGCTCTGAGTGAATCACCATAGTTGCTGTCATCAGTCACACCCTACATCTGTTACATCTCAAGAAAGAATCCACAGGGAGTCCATGATGGAGAGGTACTCAGCTCAACTAGTATGATAGAACATTAAAGCATTAACTGTGTACCTTGATAAATAAAGTGGGTAAACTTTTTATTAATTTATTTTCTTTATTAAAAATAGGTCATGAAAAATGATTGATAACGACTGAAATGAGACATTTTATTGTGATAGATTAATTCATGGGGTGCCCTGGTGGCCCCATGTACCAACAGTGAGCCATGGGTTCAAGTCCAACCTGTGGCCTTTTTCTATCAAATAAAGGCAAAAAAGCCCTCCACAATAATTTAGCCACACAATCATTTTTTATTTTGCCATGCTTTTTATGCTTTTTATTTCGTAGGACAGGTAAAGATGGACAGGAAAGGGGGGTTTGCATGAATTCTTTGTTTTATAAAATCATTGCTTTGGGCTGTATTTACAACTCTAATGTGTGTGTTCTAGGACTGTGTTTGTATGCGGCAGCTCTGTGAGCTCCTAGAAGCATATCTGAACTGGAGACAGGTGGAGAAAGTCTTCTGGACCTGGATGGCAAGTTAGACACAAAAACACACAGGAAAACAACAGCACAATTTAACACAAGAGGGATTTCCCACATTGTGGTTAATGATTCTCTTTAAATGAGTATTTAAAAATTAGGTTGCTGTGACATGTATATAGTTTCCTGCCATAACAAAATGTTGTAAAATTGTTAATTCTTTAAAAATGTAATGTGCAAATTCACCCCAAATAGACTCGACTAGATTTGGACACATTTATTTGAGCAGCCAACAGCTCTGCTATTTTAAAATCAAGCAGCCACGTGCGCCAAGAAATGTGACGCAAAGCATGTGTGTATGTGCAGGACAGTGTGGTGGACTGCCATCTGACAGATCCTGATGTTGAGAAGCCTACACATGCACCCAATGGGAGTGTGAGAGTGTGTCACCACGGAAACCGGGGGCTGGAGAAATTGGAGGAAATGCTATTGAGACTGCCCACAGGACAGGTGTGCAACACAGAAACACACACACACACACACACACACACACACACACACACACACACACACACACACGTGGTGTTCATTC